GTGCATCAGCACAGCCGATCACCGCTAACGTCTCCACTGTCTCGTCATCATTACACGTTACGGCTAACCATTCAGAATCGCAAAACAGTAATCAGGAATATTCGTTATTACCCAACGTTTTGCTGTCCACAGCGTTAGTGGGCATAGCAGATTATAATAACAAATATCACACTTTACGCATTTTGCTTGATAATGGTAGTCAACATTGTTTCATAAAGAAATCGTTATGTGAAACATTAAATGCACCGTTAATACAGTCCACTTCTCACGTTGCTGGGGTAGGTCAAACAATTTAGCAGTCCACCCACATATGTAAAATAAAATTACGTTCAAGGTTAAATTCATTTTTTATGAACATTGATTGTTTAGTGTTGCGTGCATTACAAATCAATTACCCACATTTAGTGTCGATGTAAATAATATGAGTTTACCTGATAATATTCAACTTGCGGATCCGAACTTTCACTCACCGTCAGACATCGATATACTGATAGGCGCGGATAAGTTCTGGGAATTATTGTGTGATGGCAAAATTAAGTTGAATAAAGGACCTTATTTACAAAATACAAAATTGGGTTGGATAATGTCGGGACCTTTACATAATAACCCACTTCCCGTTAAGAGTGTGCAATGTAATTTCTCCCAAACAATTGACACACAGTTGAAATTGTTTTGGGAACTCGAAGAGATAAACAATAACGTTAATAAAAACATATCCTTAGTGCTGACGAACGTGCGTGCGAAGACATTTTTGTCAAAACGACAAAACGTATGGAAGATGGTAGGTTTTCCGTACGCATTCCTTTAAAGGAATCAGCTGATGTGCTCGGAAACAGTTACACAGCGGCTGAAAAACGTTTGTTGTCGTTTGAACGAAAATTCGCTCGTTCGCCACAATTTAGGGAAAAATACGTAGATTTTATGGGAGAATATGAAAGGCTCGGTCATATGAGTTGTGTTGAAACTTATGAGTCACCCCACTATTTTTACCGCATTACGGCGTTATTAATGAAAATAGCAGTACGACTAAACTGCGCACTGTTTTCGATGCAAGCGTAGCGACGTCGTCCGGTAAGTCGTTGAACGATATTCAACATATTGGTCCACCACTTCAGAATGACGTTTTTAGCATTTTATTACGCTTTAGGCAATATAAATACGTGGGTTGTGCGGACGTTGAGAAAATGTTTCGGAATTTTCTTGTACAAACAGATCAACGAGATTTACAATTGATATTATGGCGTAAACTTCCGTCGGACCCAATATGTGTATATCGCCTAAACACCGTGACGTATGGCACTGCGTTTGCGCCATACCTTAGTATGAGATGTTTACGTCAGCTTGCGCTGGAATGTAAGGATCAGCAGGTTAATCCGAGAGGATTTTTTCGTTGATGACGTCATCCTAGGTGACAATGATTTAAATAGCTTACTCGATACCTGTGAGAAGTTACGAAATACTTTAAACTCGGCTTGTTTCCCGTTGTTATCAGTGACTACGACATATCTAAAGACTTGTCATTAGGCGAACATTGCCAAACTAAGACTTTAGGAGTGGGTTGGTATAATAAAAGTGATGAACTTCATTTTACCACACGAGTAGTTAGACCGAATTTACTAAATAAACGACAACATTGTATGTTGTCGATAATCGCACAAATATAAGATCCTCTAGGAATTTTAACACCGGCTGTCGTAGTAGCTAAAATATTGATGCAAAAAGTGTGGTTGTGCAAGATAAATTGGGATGATCCCGTTCCCAGTGATGTTGCGTTATCCTGGGAAAAATTTATTGACACACTTCAATATTTGCATAACCTACGTATTCCGTGTCATGTTATGAGTGCACACACACAGTTTATAGAATTACACGTATTCACGGACGCGTCGCAGAGTGCGTATGGTGCATGCGCATATGTTCGCACCTACTCTGATGACTCATCGGTGACTATTAGATTATTGTGTGCAAAGAGTAAAGTTGCACCAATTAAACCAGTCAGCATACCCCGACTAGAACTGTGCGGGGCTTTAATAGGCGCACGATTATATAGGAAAATTATCGAGTCATTGCGTGTTAATTTCCACAAAATTTACTTTTGTACAGATTCAACTATTGTCCTTGGATGGCTACGTACGTTACCACATACGTTAAAAACATTCGTTCAAAATAGAATAGTGGAGATTAATGAAATAACAAGTAATGCGTTATGGTTACATGTAGGAACCAAAAATAACCCAGCGGATCTGGTCTCGCGCGGTCTTAGTCTTGATGGATTCATTGACAGTAATCTGTGGTGGAGCGGTCCTGAGTTCTTAAAGAATTCTGAGTCGTCATGGTCACAGCAATCTTCGACTACACGCTCCGACTTACCAGAACTGAAATCTCAAACGACAACGGTTATGGTTTGTGATGTAACAAAGAATAAAATTATTAATTTTGAAAGGTTTCGTTCTTATCAGCGTATCGTGCGCGCTGGCGCTTACCTGTTGCGATACATACATAACTTACGCACACCAAAGAAAGATCGTACACAGGGGCCGTTATCAGTAGATGAATTGAATGACTCATTACTGTCGTTAGCGCGTCTTGCTCAACGCGAACCGTTTCCGATGGAATATGATAAGTTAAAACGTAACTTACCTTTAAAAACTTCAGGTTCGATTTCTAGGCTTAATATATTTCTAGATGAAAGGGATATAATTAGAGTAGGTGGCCGTCTTAGTAACTCGCCTGACTTTAATTACGACAAGAAGCACCCGATACTTTTGTAATGTGCATACTGGATACAAGTTGTCCTTACGGACATCTCGATATTTCAGGTTGTGAAGCAGTTAACAGTAATATCTAAGATGGGTGACTCGTACGAGCTGCACCTACTGCGCCATGCTGTCAGCTTATAACTTCACACAATTGTTGTTTCAACATCAACACAAAGAGCTTCTTCATGCTGGTCCCCAGCTGCTATTGGCCACCGTGTGTGAGAATTGGTGGCCGTTAGGGGGTAGAAACCTAGCTAGAAAGGTTGTCCATCAATGTGTCCGCTGCACTCGAATGAAAGGTAAAACCCTAACGCCAATCATGGGCAACCTTCCGTCTGAACGAATAGAACCTGGTTTCCCATTCATTCGATGTGGAGTGGATTATGCGGGTCCCATAAACGTACTGAATCGCAAAGGAAGGGGAGTTAAATTGGAAAAGGGCTATATTTGCATATTCGTTTGTTTTGTTACCCGGGCCATTCATCTAGAACTTGTCAGTACGTTAGCTGCTCAAGAATTTATATTAGCACTTAAAAGATTTATCTCACGACGAGGTAAACCAGCTCAAATTTTCTCAGATAACGGTAGAACTTTCATTAGAGCCATGAAAGAGATTAATAAATGTTAGAGCGAAATTCAAAGCAAATAATTGATAAATTATCAACCGACAATATTGAATTTAAATTTATTCCCCCCTTATGCCATGTGCCATACTCCCTCATTTTGGGGGATTGTGGGAAGCAGGAGTAAAATCCTGTAAGTTCCACCTTAAGCGTGTCGTGGGTACCGCTAACTTGACGTACGAGGAGTTCAGCACTGTGTTGGCACAGATCGAAGCAGTCCTAAACTCCCGTCCTATAAGTCCTATGTCCTCAGATCCACATGATCTTCGTCCACTGATCCCAGCTCATTTCCTCATCGGCCGGCCACTCACTACACCAGCCTGCAGAGACCTCAACGAAGCACGGACTCACAGCTTGACACGGTTTCAAAGAGTGGAACAAATAAAACAGCACTTCTGGAAACGCTGGTCACAAGAGTATGTTGCTGAACTTCAGACAAGAACGAAGTGGAAGGCGAACAGTCAAGACATAGCATTAAACACGCTTGTCGTTATTAAGGAGGACAATTTACCACCCCTTAAATGCCGTATGGGCAGAGTTACCCATATTTTCCCCGGAAAGGACGGCGTGTCGCGTGTCGCCACCATCCAAACTGCTACGGGTCCTGTACAACGAGCGTTCTCGAAAATCTGCCCTCTGCCTGTATCATCAGCAGAGGACGACAACATGAATACAGCCTGCGGCATCTCCAATCAAGCGGCAACGTAGATACATCATTGGAAGCTGGAGCTTCTAAGGCGGCCGGCATGTTGGCGCGACTACTAACGCCGTCTAGCTACGCACCGGAACCCAAACTTTTATAAACGAATCAGAGCTCGTCATTGTTGGCAACCAATCACAGCACGTCGTGCAATTAGTTATAAGATCTGTCTGTTTTAAATTTTGATTATTACCTGATACACACTGTTAGAAATAAGACGATTTAAATATAACCAGCAAAAAGTTCAATAAATCAATCATTGAAGAGCACCTGCCTCCCGTTCCTGTACAATAGATTATTTCATCCCAAATGCAGCTCTAGATTTTATGCAAACAGTGCTCCTATAATGGCTATTAAAATATATAATAAATTACCCAATAACTTAAAAGAAATGCCTTTGAATAAATTCAAAATTGAGATTAATAAATGGCTTCTTGACAAGTGTTATTATAATGTTAAGGAATATTTTAATTAATTGCAATATTATTTAATTTATTATATTATGATTATTTTAAGATATATTTGCACACCGGTACAACTCCCGGTAGAATATTATTGAGACTTACTCTTATACTAAATACCTGTATTACCTAAACATTTTATTATGCAAATAAAGATTTTGACTTTGACTTTGCATATGAGATTAGTGCGAAGTTCCAGGGATGGCATGTAGGGTCAACCGTATTTTTATTAGTAGTTATTATTTTATAAATTTTATAAGTTTATTTTTCTTTGTTTGTTTTAATGTCAAATATTCAAATAAAATGTTTATCACAAGTTTGCTTAAAAACTTTTGAGATAATGTATAATATATTACAAACATGTCTTCTATGAAATATATAAATTCTTCACTAACTCAATAACAGGTGTGAAGCTGAAAGAGCTTTGTTAATAACTCTTTTCTTTTTATTTAATAAGGTCCAACCCAACAGCACAAGGCACACTTTACAAACAATGATGTCAACTTTGCAAATGGAGTGTCCGAAGTTGTCAGAAGCCGCCGCGCCTGTCAACCCTGTTAGCGGGGAACTGTATACGACATATTACGAAAAGGATGCCTCTTGGTATAGGTAATGTCATATTTACATTATTTTTTATTCGTGTGCCTGTAAGTCCCCTACTGCATATGGGTCCCTTCTAATGGAATCCACATCTTCCAATGGAAAGGAGGATTTGTTTTAATCAACACATTTAGTAGGCAAATTGGTGAGCACAGTACGGTCTGGATGTTTTATGTGCCATACTGCAGCTATATTATGATTGTAGCACAATGGGTCGCCTCGACTGGGGAAGGACCACACTCTCACACAATACTAGCGTGAATAGCTTATTGCTTCTGTATTTCATATGGTAAATGTTGAGAACTGGAGACCCTTTTTATTGAAAACGAGGCATTCCATCTTAGTCGTCAGTGGTGACGAACCATCATCATCATCATCATCATCATCATCACAGCCCTTCACAAGTCCACTGCTGAACATAGGCCTCCCCCAAGTAATGCCACAAAGACGAACCATAATGACGTAAAACCTAATAGTTGTGGGTCGTTGTCGACTTTTTAACTGACGAAACGCAACCGTTTTTGTGACGACGAAAACGGTTGCAGAAAACGGTCGTCGTTGCAACTGGTTTGAAGACGGCTTAAAGGACGAAACTTATCTAACATGGAATCGAATTGCGTTTTCATCGAGTGAAATGTTGCAGTTTCTTACAACTTTCAACAGTTTTAAATGTATGAGATGGTTTACTAAATAATGAGTTTTATCGATCAGAAATTGAACAGCTGCAACATATTAGCGATTAACTTTAGCGACTGTATTTCATTGACAAAAAGTTCACTTTTTATTTTAAGTACTGTTTAGTTTCTGTCTACGTTTGTAAATGAACGCGGAGTCAAAGACTACAATATAACGCGGAACAATAATGAAAAATGAAATATCATAATTGTTATCAATTACCCGATAACAATTATGATGTTTCAGGGTTATTGTAAACAAATTAATTAATTTCAATAAAATGTCACGGGGACACAAAACAAAACACAATAGTTGGGATTTAATTTTATTATTTATAGGATCCCAAGCAAATGGTAGCACCCAGTTATCTTCTCTATTGAAATTAGGATGTTTTTTGATTTCTTAGCCTCGCTAATCATCCTTGCAAGGAATCGACGTTCTTTAGCGAGTATTTGTGGTAGTTAATTGTAGTGTCGGGGGCGGTCCTGTACGTGTTTACAGACTGCAGACTTTCAGGAGCGCTGATTCTTCACAACAGCTATGTGCTCTTTGAAGGAGGTTTTATTGATCTTTTAGTTTTTCCTAAGTAAGAGAGACTACATTCACAGTCAAGCTTGTATACTCCTAGATCTTGCAGGGGATATTACACTTCTCTGATGGCAAAAACTGACCAATTTTGTTCGGCGGCTTGAAGTGTTTTAATGGAAGCACGTTTCAAGATGTAGCCAATCTTGTCAGTGATACCTCTGACTTATGGCAGTACAGCAGGCTTGCGTTCCACTGTAGCCGGTTTCACTCGTTCACTGTGACGTAGGCGCGGGACTCGAAGCTTGTTGTCGTGTAATTTTTTTTATTTCTAATAATAAAATTAAGTCCCAACCCAAGGATACAACGCCAATACTACAAGATGCTGTGTAGCTCGGAGCAAAAATTAATAATTTTAAACTGAAAGTAGATGTGGTTAACCAATGACATTGGGACGTCGAACACCTCAGTCTCCCAGTGACCACATAAATGCTGAGCTAAAGGCAACTAGCTACAGTGAGTGAGGATAAAATATCTTAAGAGGAAGTGCAGAATATCGAAAAAATTTCTCAACAAAAGATGAACTAGTTTCGCTAAAATTTATAATGTATTTTGTTTTGGAAACATTTAGTGTCAATTTATTATTTTTTACTCAATAATTAAATAAAAGCATTTTTGTACATACAAATATTTCCTAGTATCACCACTGAATAAAAGAGCAGTGACATCGGTATAAGCAAAATGTTAAACGGTATTTAACAATTTTGACAGAAATGCTGTTTTTAAAAGTCAAAAACACAGTGATGCAAAGATCATCGCTTATCGAGTGTTCTATTTTGGCGCTAAAACTAAAACACTAAATATTTGCGTAACATACTATTTTACGTGCGGGTTGGGGTGTATTAAACGCGCATTGGGATAGTAAATAAATGTATTGTCCACACACTCACATACGCCCGCACGCACGCACACTGCAAGTGTACAATTACGTAGTCTAAAATTGCTAGGCTTCTTCGCAGAGATCCTTCATACTCGCGGATGTCGTTCGTCGTGTCGTGTCGTGTTGTCGTGTTTACATACGTGTTCCCGTAATAATTTTTTACCATCTGGAAAAAAATGGGGTGTAACATATGAATGGAGTAGACGCCTCTATGGCTCTGATATTTTACACAATAAAAACAAAAATTTTGAATTAAGTAAATAAATTAATTAATCTAATCATATCCATCTTACTTTACGAACGGCAATAAAAAAATAAATTTAGTAGGTATCTTTGACCTTGTCACTTCTTAGGGTTACAGGCTAGGGTGTCCGTTTCACTCCATTCACATGTTACACCCTCTTTTTTTAACAAACGTTTTTCTTTCTTTTCCAAACGGTAAAAAGGGTCATCCAGTATATTACTGATTTATTTTCTTGTTAATTGGGTTTTTAGAGTATAGTAGTTCCAAACTAAACTATTCGTGACTAAAACATCCATTGTATAATAAAATTTGTAATTCCAGGGTGACGATAGCAGGGGTTGTATCATCAGAAATGGTTTCCGTTTATTTCTGTGATTACGGTGACTTGGTAGTGCTGGCGACTAAAGATTTGCGACCAGTACCTCCAGGTGCGCCTCTAGCTCGCTCCTTGCCACCACAAGCCATAAAAGCTAGATTATTTGGTAAGTGGATATTATTTAAATATAGTCACTCAAATTTTTATATTATCATTATAATTTCAACATTATCAATATGTTGTCAACTGGTACGTGTTCGCTGATTCGCTGGTTTTGGAATATATTAAATTGATTTGTTGTATATTATATTATAATTTAATAATTTACACTTGTAATTGCCTTAATAATTATTGAAAAGGGTTGGACTTTTTACGGCCATCCCGTTTTTCATTAAATTGTGTAGCTACTTGCCCTAATAAACAATCATTTCTTTGTTATAAATTTATTATAAAGATATTAAATGATTATTTCATATTATGCAAGATGTTGTGACTATTAGGGAGCAGCGATGGTACCACCATATATTTTACCCAACATCACCTGTTCCTATCGCATCATCTATCCGTCATTTTTCCGTCGACGCCCCTTTAGGCTCATCGGACCATTGTCTTGTCCGGAGTGTGGTGCCACTCACGCTGAAATCGCAGTTGCATTCTGCAGGCTGCCGCCGTGTTTGGCACTATAGGTCAGCCGATTGGGATGAGATGCGGTCTTTCTTTGCATCCTACCCTTGGGGGCGGGTTTGCTTCTCGCCGGATGATCCCAACATTGTTGCAGATTATGTTGCTGATGTGGTACTTCAGGGTATGGAACTTTTTATTCCTTCCTCTGTGGTGCCCATTGGAGGCAAATCTCAGCCATGGTTTGGTCGTTCTTGTAAAATAGCATCATGCTATAAGCAGGAGTGCTACCAAGCCTAGGCTGACGCATCAGCGTCCCGGGATGTAAACACCAGCGCTCTAAAAAAGAAGTATAATTCCGCGTCTAGGTCCTTCAAAAGAGTCATTGCCAAGGCAAAGTCAGAGCACATAGGCAGAATTGGCGAGAAACTAGTTCGCCTTCCTTCTGGAACCCGTGCATTCTGGTCTCTCGACAAGGCTGTCCAGGGGAATTTCTGTCAGCCATCTCTTCCATCTCTGCACAGGGAAGACGACTCACTGGCCCATACCGCAAAGGAGAAAGCTGATCTTCTAGGCTCTTTCTCCGCTCAGACCCGTCCAACTACCGGCCTATCGCCATCACCTCCTTGTTCTCCAAAACAATGGAGTCCATTGTAAACTGCCAGCTCATGAGGTACCTTGAGGATCACCAGCTGATTAGTGACCGCCAATACGGTTTTCGCCGTGGTCGGTCAGCTGGTGATCTTCTGGTCTACCTAACTCACAGATGGGCGGAGGCAGTAGAGTCCAAGGGAGAGGTATTGGCCGTTAGTTTGGACATTGCGAAGGCCTTCGATCGGGTTTGGCACAAAGCGCTTCTTTCGAAGCTCCCTTCCTATGGGCTTCCCGAGAAATTGTGGGATTAGATCACCAGCTTTCTTGCAGATCGGAGCATCAAGCTCGTTGTAGACGGTGCAAGCTCCGATTGCAGGCCTATTAATGCTGGTGTCCCACAAGGCTGCGTGCTATCGCCAACGCTGTTTCTTCTGCATATCAATGATATGTTGCAAACCCGTAACATTCATTGCTATGCAGATGACAGCACTGGTGATGCTATTTACACCGGTCGAGCCAATATTTCTCGGGAAAACGTCTCCGAGTGCCGGGACAAACTTGTGTCTGAAGTCGAGTCTTTGCTGAACAGAGTCTCTGATTGGGGGCGACTAAATCTAGTCCAGTTTAACACTCAGAAGACACATGTTTGCGCGTTAACTGCTAAAAAGAACCCCTTTGTCGTATCTCCTCAGTTTCAAGGCACTCCCCTTGTTGCCTCAGCCAGTATCGGAATCCTCGGCGTCGACATATCGAGTGACGTGCAGTTTCGTGGTCACTTGGAAGAGAAGGCCAAATTGGCTTCTAAAAAGCTTGGCGTGCTCAGCAGAGCGGGACAGTATTTCATGCCTTCACACCGCCTGCAACTTAACAAGGCGCAGGTTCGGCCGCACATGAAATACTGTTCCCATCTCTGGGCTGGGGCTCCCCAGTACCAGCTCCTTCCACTTGACCGCATCCAGCGCAGAGCGGCTCGAATCGTTGATGACCGAGTGCTTTCCGATCGGCTCGATTCACTGGCACTGCGAAGAGATGTTGCATCCTTTGCATTTTCTTTCGCATATACCATGGAGAGTGCTCTGAGGAATTGTTCGGATTAATCCCAGCCGCCAAATTTCGTGAACGCACTACGCGTCAAACGTTCCGGTACCATCCACACCATCTGGATGCTTGGCGGTCCACCACTGTACGTTTCAAAAGGAGTTTTCTTCCGCGTACAACCTCTCTGTGGAATAGTTTACCACCGGCGATTTTTCCGGACCGATACGACCTGGGGACCTTCAAGAAAAGAGCTTACTCCTTTCTAAAAAGCTGGCAACGCACCTTCAATTCCCTTGGTGTTGCGGTTGATCATGGGCGGCGGTAGGCACTTAACATCAGGTGAGCCGCATGCTCTGTTGCCCCCCCTCCTATTAAAAAAACTATCATTATCGCAGCCTATTACAAGTTAACTCCTGAACTACCTGCATACATTGTTTTGCTGCATCTTATAACACACACTCGAGAATCTTTTAACTATAGTCTAGTTAAAAGATTCTCTTATCTTCACGCACATTCCCTAACGGGGTAGCCAGAGAGAACAGATCGCCAAGTGTCACGGTCCTTACATACCTCTTTCGCTTCTTTCAGGTTCATTAACTTCTTCATACATGCACGTCTAGGTATCCGAGTACTCTTGACCCTCCCCTCTTCGAGCAATTTCCTCACATGGTCTTCGAAAGTTAGTCTCGGTCTACCTCGACACCTTTTAATATTTACTTTCGCTCTATATATTTTCTTCACCATTCGGTCTTCACTCATTCGTTCAACGTGCCCAAACCATTGGAGTACCCCCCTATCAATTTTTGTGATAAGGTCATCTTTCAATCCTGCCATATTGCGAATCTCTTCGTTTCGCTTTCGGTCGGCTATGGTAACGCCGCACATTTTACGAAGAGATCGCATCTCCACTGCATTCAACTTGCTTTTATGCTTCTTCTGGCATACCCAGGTTTCGCTGCCATATAACAAAGTCGGTACCAACACTGCGTTATGTATTTGTATTGCAAGGCGTGCACTCTTCACCACGCCTTGCCTTTTTACTAATGCATTCAGGGCACCATTGACTTTGTTTCCGGCAGCGACACGCCTATCCACATCTAAATCACATCTTCCATCCCGGCTGAAAGACTTTCTACCCTTAGACTGGAAAAGATTCTCCACTTTATTATTTATTATTATTATTTTTTTATTATTTTTATTTATTACTTATTCGCTACTTTAGCTTCTTGCTCCGTTGGGATGTCAAAAAGTTTAGTTTTTCTATAGATATCCCAATTTGGACCCAATTATTTATAGATATTACGAAGAGAATGAAACTCCGAGTCATGTCCTCTCCACGCCTCATCAAGAAATTTAGAGCTTTTGTAGCTATTTCTATAAATCTTAAATATTATGTCACATTATTATTTTATAAGTAATATGTATGTATTTGAACTTTGACAGATGTATGTCCTTTGCACCAAGACTGGGCTGTAGAAGACTGCATAAGATTTCAAGAATTATGTGTGGAGCAACAATTTGTAGGTATTTGTAAAGAAGTGGGCAAGGACCCGCTAAATCCAAGCGAGCCCCTCTTAACCCTTGATCTCATTGACACAACAACAGATGATGACATATATCTTAACAAACAGTTGGTCGCTGAAGGCAGAGCTAGACTTGCTTCCGATTCCTAACTTTATGTTTTAAGAGAAGTCATTGTTATGTTTTTCGTAATTAATAAGTAATTATATGTATTGACTTTTAATATTGGCTTAAAATGTTATAATCAAATATATAAATGCAAGTAAATGTATTATATGTTTGTTTAATATTTTGTTAAATAGTAATCAATCACAATAAGTAAATTTCTGTTTATGGCTTGTTGGAAAATTATACACTCCATTTTCAACTTAGGACATTTAAAAATACTCAATATTGTTAATTTCGTATTTATTTTTCTAGTAGTGTTTTAAGCAATTAATTTCATAAATAATACACACATGTAACTCGCAAACGGATGGAATCTACTCTCTTTCCTGTGACATTGCATGTGCAGTTGTTTCAAATCATGATTATAGTGTATATTACTTACCACAAGGAAACTGTTTTTAAGTTTTGGTATGGTTTTTCATTCAAGTTTCGTTTTAGCATCAAAGCTACGATTCGGGTTCTAGCATCAGAATGGCAGATTTTCTATCAAACTCTTATAGTCTTCTTGATTGATTTAAATATTTACGATTTTCTTATCAATAAAATTATAGGACACGTAAAAATATTTTCTGTGAAAGAAATTATTTCTAAGCCAAGTTATGATATAAATAAGTAAAAATAAACTAAAAAGCTAAGAATTCTAAGATTGATAAAGGATTTTAGACATTTTAATAATTTTGATTAAACTTAATTACTTCTTTCGTTTAGATTTCCCGTAAGATAGGCATAATTGTTTATAAATCTACACATATTGTCAGCTCCAACAATGATTCAATCTACCTAAATTAAAATAACCGGCTTTGCAGCTTCTCGTTTATCATGTCGGTATAATTTATCTATATGCACATGCTGAATAAAGGTAATAAATTAATAAATTTCTATGATGTTTTATTTTTACTTTTAGATTGCTTAATACTGATTTGATGTATAAAAATATTTCTTATTTCATCAAACAAATAGGTATCGTACTTTTATCATATCGTTGATTTATCCTTAGTAGGTAGAATAAAGCAGTTCCTTGGAACAAACCCAACAATTCGAAAATGTCATAATTACAAATTCATTGGCAAACATTGGTATTACTCACTCACAAAGTATTACATACAGTGACGCAATTTATGCCTCGTTTAGTCATTAAAAATGTGACATTAGAGGCACTGCTTTAAGTTGGATTAAAACATACTTGCATAATAAACGACAATCTGTTGAAATAAGCAGACCAGACTTCAATCATGTGGTCCTAAATCACATATCAGATTTCGAGGAAAACAAATATGGATTTCCACAGGGTAGCGTTTTGGGACCACTGTTGTTTTTAGTATATATCTCCGCCAAGTCGAGCAAAAAAGCGGCACGGCCGTACCATACTTTTCTCGAAGCAATTCAGGCCATTTTCGACCCCCTATAACTTCGTAGTGGATAAAACTAGAATTCTGTATATTCAGTAACCGAGTAGGCATTGTATAAACATGGTATATTTCAAATTTCATTCAATTTGAACCAGTAGTTTAAGAATTATAACTAGTCAAAGTTTCTTAATTTTGTCACTCACTGACTGACCGATCATCAAAACTCTAAGGCACTTCTAACAGACATAGAAGCTTCAAACTTAGAACAAAATTAGTGTTTATAGTCAACCAAATCTAAGGTACGTTTTGACAGCTGTCAGACTTATTGCACCAAGCATGCCAACCAAAATATGGGAACGTACAATATTCGATTCTTAAAAAAAATCGATATCGATAATTTAGAGTTGGTAATCATTTACAGTTTGGTTTGAATAGTACCAGAATAAATTAAAAACGGATAATTTAAAAAACAAGATTTATCAGTTTCTTCGTATTTGTTGTTACTGCTTATTTCTAGAGACCCAGTTACACAAATTTAAGATTGAAATTATATTAAAAATAAATTTATTCAATCACTTTCAGTACAACTGGTAGGGATGTCGTTGTTTATAATAATTCTAATTTGATTTTCAATAATGCAGACAAAATTAATGTCTCTTTCAAAGTCATCCATAATCAATTTTTTTTGTTTTTTCTACCACTTTTGCCCAATCATCCTTTGTGATATGGGCACGTGCTTCAACGACTATATTTTTTATAGCATTGGGTGATAAACGAGCACACACTCTACCTGATGGTAAGTGGATGCTATGGCCCACAGACAAACATATTTATCCTCAATTAATAATCAAAATGCGAAAGATGGAATGCCTCGATTCCAGTAAAAAAAGGTTTCCTTTTCTCTACTCACCACACGAAACACAGCAGCATTGTTATGTGAGAGCGTGGTTCCTGTCCCGGTTGAGCCGACCCATTCGAGCTACGACTATAATATAGATGTAGCGTGGCTCTGCCACGTACAAAAAGTTATTACAGAAGAAACAGTCCAAAAAGTTAAAGCCGAGTCACAAAATAAGAAGACAAACACAAAATCACAAAATTACGCACAGTAAGCTCTCGAAACAGAAATAGAAACTGGTTGCGCGGAAAACCATTCGCGTTTTTTATTTTGACGGTAGGAACTTGTAGAATCATTATTTCCTTTCCAAACAATATCATTCGTACCCTCCTATCGACACATCGGGGTGGTGAGGTGGGAGGGGAAAGAAGACGATTCTAGAACATCGCGTAATCACCCGAGCCGAGGATATATAAGACACGCGCGACCGATGCGCGAGCCTCTTCTCCCGCCGCAGTCGTCGTTGAACTACAACCTCCTCTTCCCGCGCGCTCGTTTGGAAACACCTCACTAGTGGAAACCGCTTTGGCCTGGAAGCAGTCGAGCTCCAGGAACCCGCCTCACCTCGTGTGAGATATCGTCGCGCACCGCCTCTCTCCGGAGTGTTCCGGAAGTCGCCGCTATAGTGATCGACAGGAAGAAGAAACCCCGGTGAGTCAATATTCCTTAATTATACCTGCTTGCTAATAGTTTAACCCGCTCCAATCTGTGTTTTTTTTCCTAGTCAAGCAGGATTCCTTTCATCGATTCGACAAGTAATAGTTTAGTTTAGGGAAGAGCGAGTGCATTGTACCGCATGCTATAGTAGTCGCTTGACGTAAGCGTAGAAGCAATCGCATATACAGTCCACTTTAGTTAATATCTCGCGTAATAGGTTTGAGGTTTGACCGGGGAACTAGATTTTCGGCAGCCTTAAACACGTGGCTCCACCATTTTATGGTCACTTCGGCAGGATCTGGATTGGTGTTTAGTGGTTATCCAACCATTTTCTGGTCGAATTATTAAATTAATTGTTTAGATAACGCACTCTAATTTATAGAATAGACTTAAATAGTGTTCGTTTAAATTAAAATTTTGATTTGTTACTCGCAAACAGAATTATTCATTTAATAGCGCTCGTATTTGGTTAAATTTAAAGCTTATTAAATAATTGAAACGGCGTGATAGCAACCGTTTGATACGCTTACCCCACAATTTTATAAAATTATTAGGTTTAGCAAACGACGCGTAGCCTTGACTGCATCGGGCGCTCGATCTGATTACGTAATACGGCACGCCGAGTATTCATCCTACGTCGTTTATGCGTGTGAGATTAATTGTGATTAATATAACTTTATTATAATAATTTAAAATGGCAGTTAGTGGAAGTGAAATCAAAATTAAAACTCTTTATGCCAAGAGGTACATACTCTTTTCGCGTATGCAGAATATAAGTGATTATATAAAGAACATTCATATAGAGGCAGTACGGGAGGCCTTTTTAAATGAAATCGAAACGATAGATAATTTGCGGACAGATTACGAAAGAATATTAGATCAAATTAATCATTCGGAACTACAAACCGACCCGAAATACATAGTGAACTACCAACCGCTGCTGGCATTCGAAGATATGTTGTGTCGCGTGAAGAGAACCGCAAAATTGCTACAATCTCAAGGTGAAGCGAAGCCTGAAATGCAGGTACGCCCTCGTGACTCAATTAGGTTACCGCCAATAGATATTCCGGTATTCAATGGTGATATTAAGACGTGGCCCTTCTTCTTCAGTAGTTTTCAAAACAATATACACAACAACCCATCGTTATCGGACGCTGAAAAATTATATTACTTAATTAGTAAACTTAGTGGCAGAGCACAGTCGATCTGCTCGGGTTTTACACCTACAGCAAACAATTACGTATTAATATTTGAAACGCTTAAAACTAAATATGAAGATAGGAGAATGTTAGCTTCCGAATATTTGAACCAGATATTCGATCTTAAACCTATATCATCCGCGAACATCAACGGCTTAGAGCAGTTTCTCGATAAATTTGTGGCATCGGTGGCTGCACTTAAGAATTTGAAGTTTAATGACCTCATGGACGTGGTGTTTCTCCATATAGCATTAAAGAAATTAGACTCCGACACCGTGCGTGCGTTTGAAATGGAGCATCGTAGCTCGGAGATGCCTTCCTTTCATTCATTAGCATCGTTCGTGCGAGATCAAATAAAGGTGATGCAGCGCTCACCGAACGTTAAACAGGAGATTAAAAGGTGCGTCGACCGTAGACAGACTCAACCATCTAAAATAGCAGGGTCGTTAACTTACGTAACCGCTACGCCGACATCACTCCAGCATACTTGTATAGTATGTAAAGATAAACACGGTAATTTATATAACTGTGCGACTTTTCGTAAATATTCACCAAGCGAACGTTATAAGTTAGTAAAAACAAACAACCTATGTTTGAACTGCTTAAGCGATAAGCATTTAGTTGCAAAATGCAATTCGAGTTCCGTATGTAGCAAGTGCGCCAGGAAACATCACACGCTATTACATTTTGAAAATAGCAACATAGCGGCGTCAAGTAAGGCGAATAAGGAATTCACCCCTACTAAGGTCAACGATTCTAGCGGTCGACCTGGTGATGTCGCTCTGTGCTCATTGGCAAATATGGGAGCACAACCTCCTTCAACCGTGTTACTGGGTACGGCGCGTATTTTGGTTAGGGATTCGCGTGGAAACAAACAAAGC